TTTCGACTTAGCCGCCGTAGGTTACGCGAGAGTTGGATTAATTTAGCGACAGACTCGCCGATTCCGGAATCACAATACGTAATTAGATTATATAATAGCGATAGATTCTTATTGGCTAAATATTCATATGGCTTCAAAAAATTTGAGGCGTCGTTGACCGAGGTAAAATCGCCATCCAAAAAAGTTTCGAAAATCATATGTATGATATTGTCAATTCATCCTGATTAGATCATGATAATAATATTTATTAAAATATTAACATAATTGATTTAGTAAGTGATTTTTTTCTCGATTCTTTAAACTGAAAAACGGTCGTTAAAAGCATAAATACAATTCTAAAAGTATATGTTAATTGCCGTAACCAAATTTCCATTAACAATAAACGAAAAAGAAAAAAAAAATGAACGAGAAAATCTTTTAGATTTTATTTTTAATGCTCTTCTGTAAGATTATTTATTTGAATCCAGGATGCAGCAACAAAAAATCATTGAAGAAAATAAATAGTGACAAATGCCTTGATAGTGTCAGAGGGTAATCGAACGGAAGAAATGTGACGAATTGTCACTTCGAATTCGTCGATGTTGCGTAACGTCACTCAAAAGTTTAGGCGAGGCGGTTGCGATTCGGCACAGGTTAAAGCGGCTTTTGAGCACGTTACAAGATAAGGACGGATTCTTTAAAGAACAGTTATTGTTTTCGTGGATTAGAGGGGTCTTTATTAACGAATTTATTGTGTAGGGCACACACTCTACGACTTACGAGATGGAAAATTCCACCTATATTTATAACAAAATTACCGTAAGAGGAGCACGTACAAGACCGTAACTTTTCTCCCTTACTATCATTGAATTTCCACCTTGTTTCACCTTATTTGTACTAATTTTAATCCTTCCATATACAGCCTTTCGTCACTTTAGCATTTCTCACGATCGAAATAGAACAAAAGAGAAATGTTTTAGTGCCAATTTTCTCATTGTCAAATCACACCATTATTACCACAATCGAACTCTTTTGCCACTGCCTCACACTTATCCAAATAGGTAAAATTGATTTAACGTCCGTTTCTAGCCATCACTGTGCGAACAGGTAAGTATCGATCGACCTTCCCCTTATTTGGTGTGGTGGTAAGGTTTCCACGTTGGGGCTTGGTGTATGTTTCAGGTGGATCGTCATTCGTACTACCGATTTGGTAGTGAGGCTACTATCATTTTTCGAGTCGGCTGGTGTTACGGTTTTACCTATGACAATAGTATTAATAAAAATCTTTGTGCCATTGCATAAATTGGAGGATTATAATCATTTAAAAGGCAATGGAATATTCCAAATACTTAGAAAAACCATAATTATAATACTTTCTGACTATAATAAATATTACGTTTATTGAGTTATTTGAAATAAATTAAATGATTAATTTATTACTTATCATTATTACTTTGTTAGTCTAAATTTTTTTTTGTTTGTATTTTTTTGTTAAGTTATATGAATTTTTAGTGTTCAATGTATTTGACACGTGATATTCGAACCTTTTTTTGGGTGGTGATTTTACCCCGGTCGGTGTCGTTGGTCTAGTTGCCAAATTACTGTTATTATTATTCAATAATAGTGTTATCCGACAATTTATGATTATGATTGGTAGAGGGTGAGTTTTAATTTGAATAAACATGATTACACCGTATCACACGAAAAAATAACATGCTGAAATATATTTATAATCATAGGAGTTTGTCGGTTAACTATAATTTTTTGATTCTAAATTAAGAATAAATATTACCTACTAAATTAGGGTTGAATGACAGAAAATCACATTGTATAATGATAAATAGTTGAGTGCCACCGAGCAAAAAAAAGCAAGGATCACTTTGTAAAAAAAATATATACTTTTAGCTCTGCCCAAAGGTTACTCATTAGTTGTCATATCTATCTATTTAAATTATCTGGTATCTGTTTTCACCTTTTTAATTAAACTTAAGTCAATAATCTCTTTATGCTATTGATAGCCATCCAGCAGGTAAATTTTATTCAATTTTTAGTATGAATAATATATTTCAAGTGTTTTTTTTTGAAGAATATATTTTGAATATTTATTTTTATATTTTTTTAATCTTTTAATAAATAGAGTGAATAAAATGAATGTCGATAAAGTGAATAAAATATATATCGAGTGTGAAGGCTTTGGTTTTCGAATTGAAAAACAGCCATCGGTTACAAGAATTTACCTAAAAAATGAAATTATTGAATATTTATGTAGATATGAAACTGAAACTGAATTTAACAAATATTTAGAGCCAGATAGAGGTAGAAATTGTTTTCAATTAACAAAAGCTACTACGAAATGTGAAATTATCGATAGAAATAGTGGAACTACTCTTGTTAAAATTAATTTAACTTAATAGTAGTTGTTTAAATTGAGTTCCCGAATTATATGATAGTAGCTCGTACATGAGATTTAATTTTATTTTTTTCATACATATATGTATATTAGCTAGTATCATTTGCTCATTGTAAGTTCACCATATGATCTTTTATTTGTCGCATAAGAGTTAATAGTAAAATTGGCAGGTGTATTTATCGCGTAAAGTGATAATAAATTTTAAAGTATAAAATATTCAATTACCAAATAAATATCATAAAGAAATTTGATATATTAAATTAAAAAAAAAAATCCAATCAAGATAATTTATATAGTTTTAAATTTTTATAACTTTTTTATTTTTTAAAAAAATATATTTTTAACTGATATCCTTTATCTTATGTGGCTGTACAGTGTAAATGATTTTTTACCGTGCATAATTAATGCCTTAACTATATATTTTAATTGTTCATAGAATATTTAAATGGAAATTTTACTTTCAGCTCTTTTTTCATATAGTTTATAGCTATTAGCTTCTGACTATCGCCTTTAACTAGTAACTTATAGTGCAACTATCATATGTGAGGAGTTTCTACATTCATACCCATATCGGCAGATTTTGGTATTATACAATTGGTTGTGGTCGGATAATCATAAAATTATTAATAATAAATTATATTAACGTTAACGTTATATTAAAATTTAGCTGCGTAATGAATCGACAATATCTCTATTCTGATCAGTTGAATTCTAATCAGTTGGATATGTATTTTTGTATTAGATTTTTTGATTTTGAGGACATATTAATTAATTGAACATCCGGTAATCATCATTTAAGGGGTATTTGCTACTGAGGTAGCTATTATTTATCAGATCTGTGGTAAACAGGTCAAATTGCAAAATCCGTAAATATACTAAATTCGACAATAAAATGTGGAATTTGTAATTAGGAATTAATGATTTATTTAATACGACATAAATTTATGTGCATACATACTCTCTCTAACTAAGGACATTAGCCGCCCGATACGAAAGTATCGGAGCAGCATTTTGTCTCGAATCGATCATGGGTTCTTGAATCGTATGGTTCATTGTTATAATTTGATTTATGCTTGATCGATTTATTGATTGATTGATTTATTGAGTTATCGTATGATTTTTGGCTTTGATTTTTTTTTACGATCAGTGACGTAATTTTTTCGATTAGTAATCGTTAGTAGTATTTAAGGGGAACGGGCTTTTTCCCAAAGAGATTAGTTTCTGTTTTTTCTGCTAACCCGACTTTGTTTGTTTTTTCGTCCCGCCCTACCCAACTCTCGTTTAGCGGACGGCAGTTGCTTTAAAGACTTAGTTGTGAAGGACCAGGAGAGATGATAGTCATTGTTTTAGTCACTGTTTTTAGTTGTGTGTTAGATTAAGACCGGTCCGTCAGTCATAATTGTATTCAGTGGCCTGTCGGAACGACAGTCACGAGGAAAACTGCAATTTTTAAAGTAAAAGTGGCCTGTCGGGATGACAATCACGGAGAAAAATGTCTTAGTTTGAAGTAGGGGTGACCTGTCGTAATGACAGTCACGAGAAAGTATTTCTTTTGTACTAACGACATCACGAGGAAAATTTGGTGTTCGAAGTGACAAGCATGGGTTTTTTCCAGATGAAATTATCTGGTTTTTTTTTTCATCCCACCCTGCACGTTAGAAATAGCATTTGGGAGAAAATCTATTATGGTTTTGATCGATACTCTCGATCTCTGCACCGTTAGCATGTATAGCACGAAAGCGGAAGGGACAGAATACCCATGATTATATTTCATAGTATTTTATAGTATTTCATAGTTTTCTTAGTTTTGTAACACCCCCTCGATGAGAACAAAAAGACACACACTTATATACATTTGAATTCAACACTAAAATTTTAACACATGCGTTAAGATTTTCGTGTATACGTTCAATCGTTGGTGTGTATGTTAAATTATTACTGCATATATTATTCACATGCATCATGCGGAAAATACTTCTAAATTACGAGTAATGCCTAATTTCACTAATAATAACCTAATAATATGTAAGAGAGAATTATGAGACAAAATTATCAGTTATACTGGATACTATTTCTGAAATTGCAATTATTATTGTATTTACACTTTTAAGTTGTCAATATTTCGTTGGACTATCAATTTTGCGCCCTTTTTTTTTAACAATCGACAATTCTCTTAATTACAATAAAAAATCATAGGCCAGGAAGGATCGACCCTAGAAAAGCTTGAGCCAGACGACTAGGCTGACCTTTTTGCTAATGCAATTTAGTTCATACCAAATTCATACTGCTGACATGTGTCGCGTAGCTGCACGTTTCGGACAATCATTTGTTCTGACAGAACAAATTTTGTGATATTTTATCATCGCATGATCCAATATCGACGTCATCGTACAATTATTATCATGATTTATAAGTCATAGTTGGCAAACTGAGGTTTAATCAGAATTGTTGTGCTTAAGTAATACGTACAAAAAAATAACAAGAAAAAAATCTATGATCATGAGGGTTTGCACGATAAATATTGATTTTTATATGTATCGATTTTATCATGTGATAATAACTATCAATTTCATTTTTGTATTGTTAATAAAATTTTTGTCATTAAATATTCATATTAACATAGGGTTCCAAAACAAATACGCCAGTTTTAGTTTTTGCATTTTTGTGTAATTGTTAAAATAATAGAAGTTACAAATTTTTAGGTTTTGCAAGCATATAGAATTAATAAATCTTATATTTAATTATTTAATTTATTGTTAAGATTAATGTATATAGTTATAAGTTTCTAGTGTGTTAATAGTCAAAGAATGATTCATAGTTAAATTCTGAAACAGTTTGCTGGATGCTACACATACTAATGTAGATTATTTTCCGTATAAGTGTTATTTTAGTATAAAACGAATAATCTAGAATTTTACATCGATGCTTTACACTGGTTTAATCTGTTACTAATTGGATTGTAAATAAATAGATACTTAATTAAGATGAATGGGAGATATCAATATTGCACTCTTCACAAAAACACGCTCGTAGCTAATATAAAATTCTACCAATTAAGCAATGGATTCTCAACCTTGTTAGGGATATGTATTAAATGTTCTGATTGTAGCGCACTATTGTTTCCAAACATAACGGTAAGTGGTATGACGGTAAGTTGAAGTGATAGACCTTACAATTTTATTTTTTTATATATCACTATCGGGAGGATCGTTGGGCTTAGACGATGATTAATCAAAGGATAATTAGTTTGTGGCTGCGATAAATGAAAGAATAATTGTCCGGTGACACGGGCGAAACGGCGAGTCAGTCGCTTGTCGATGGGATATGTTGTGTAACCTACGAACGGCTTAGTCGATAAGAGGCGGTTAGATTTGGCGAGTGGTGTGTTTATGGTCGTAGGTTTTATATTATAATTAAACAGGGAATTATTATAGGATGAAATTTATGATAAGCACTAACTGAACTGTCCTTGTAGGGCGCGAAGCCTTTATTATATATTGTTAATTACATATGCGCTCTTTAAGGTATTAAACATATTAAAGCTATTAAATGTATTATCCCACTTATATCCCTCTAACGTCCCTTATTACTTAAAACCCATAACCCCCGTATATCCCTTTAATCATAGTTATCTCTTAAAACACTTATCACCGCTATTACCCTTATAATTGCTAAAGATTCTATACGACTTTTAGGAGCGATAATCCCGGGAAGCCCATATTAGGTAGTTGATCGACATAGCCGTTGATTGTTACTGCGCCACATCGACCACCGCCTTCCACGTGCTCCCGAGATCACGTTTCGCGGCTCACACCGGGTAATGCGCCTCGACATTCGAGTAACAAGTCTTTGCGGTCAAGAAACTGTGATGCGTGGAATGACAAGATGTCAGCATCATTTTGACATTAGCCCATGTCTTAAATAAACAAAATGTATATAAGCGAGAAGATTTGCTTTAACAAAAATTATTTTCGATTTTTCTTTGATGAAAAGATAATAAAGATTTGATCATGTTTCAATGATAATGAAACAGATATTTCTATACCGATATGTTCTTTACATCAATAAATATCTTAAACAATTACTAAAGAAAATACAACATTACCCTTAAATTTCACACATCAAAATCTCGCCCTTTATAATTTGACTATTTGTGGACCTATACTTGTGGAAAGTAGTTTATTGAATTATCATACATACACTTTTGCCGGCATTATTTATTTGTTTTTTTGACATTTCCTTATTTTTATTTATTGGCATTCGTAATACTACTCACCCGATTCGATCCTGTTTCTGATTACTGATTGAATGCTCAATTCGATCCCGCTTAAGGATACCATGGATTATTAATAGCTGTTATATGAGTGATGCCAAGAGAAAGCCAGGCTAGAGGTTGGAACCGGTTTTAATAATTCGGGTTTATCACATGAATTTTATGATATTTTGGAAATTTATCCAATTAAATTTTAATAAATTCTAAAATATCTAAATTCATGTGATAAACCCGAAGTATTAAAACCGGTTCCTACCTCTAAGCCAGGTCCCTGGCTTTTAAGTTTATTATTTATTATTTACCCAACCAGAGACATACGTATATAGTGGATAATTAAATTTATTTATTTTATGTTTCTAATCATGGCTGAGTCTAAATAATAAATAATAAACATGAAAGCTAGAAGTCTAGTTTTCTCTTGGAGTTACTCATACAGACAATAATAACTTTGTAAGAGAAGTTCATCGCACAATTTTTATCATTAAAGCCATTAAAACACTAAAGCTCCAACAATGTTTAAAGAAAAAGTTTCCGCCTTAAAACGTTTACAATTAGATCCATATTAAAGAGTTGCCACAGCTTGTAAAGTAGAATTCCCAACTGCCAACCTCATAAAATAATGGCATGAACGCTTACATTATTGTTCGTCCAGGTGAAACTAGTGAAACAAGATGAAATCATGTATTTTTTTTTAAAAAAAAAATCAAATAATAATAATAATTTCCATATTTTGACATTTTCATTGACAGATAAATATTAACTCAATAAATGTCTTGGATATAGCGCGACAGCATCGCGCAACATAAAAGATGTTGCCACAACTCTTAATTTAATTAATAATAATCTGCAAAACACAGCCTCCATAGCCTCTATTATGAAATTCGATCGTTACGCATTCTTCCACATTAATCGTTTACAAACTAATGATCGACTTTTTTTGACGATTGATTTTCACCTTGCAAAAATAAAAGAATATTCGAACAGATCCAGCAGCTTAAACCAAAATGTTTTTAAAAGCTTACAAAAAAAGTTGGCATAAAAAGGCAAGCTTTCATTTATTGATACTCTTTTGTATACTTCACTAAAAAATAAAATACTTTTTAATCATAATAAAGTGGGAAAGAATCACCCTATCGAATGTCACAAAATGTTTTGTCATAGTATCCTTGCTTCAAACAATAACTCTAATAATACTCCAAATAAGAATTTTTTTACGTAACACTTCACTTAATGACCAAATGGATTCCTATTTGGAGCAAAATCGAACACTTGCCGCTTTATGTGAAATGACTTTGGCTGAAAATAGGCTTACTTTATTGTTTGCTGAAAATTTTTGTTTCGTCTTTTTTCAAATCTTCCAATTATATTTTTGCTTACATGCGGTAAGAATATATAAAAAGTTAAATGAAATACATTTATAATATATTTAAATTATATTTATAATTTTGTTCTCAAACAAAAGGTAATTCACCAAAACATGATCCAAATATTCGTGGTACTTGGACTTAACATTGCAAGCTCTCTCTATGGAATTGTAATTTGTTATTTCTTATTTTACTGGATTTTATGCATACAGTATTGCATATCTTTACATATCACGTAACTATTCCTGTTTTTATTAGGCCCAGCAATATGAAGTTGAGAGTGAATTAAATATTATAATGTCTGACTGTCCAGGAGTCTATACACTTTCTCCAAATTATGAATTATATGAATATCCAAATATGATAGTTTCCTCAACGTTTTCATTTGTGAATTTAATCTTTGCTTGGAGATTATTTTTACTATTTGGAAAGCAAATGTATGAAAAAGTTGATATAGAAATAAACAATCAAGGTAGGCTTCATGAAATATACAGTATGTTTGTATCATATCTAACTTTATCTATATATAAATATTTTTTATAGATCTTTATAGGAGAATGCTTATTTTTGTTATGATGCTAAAGTTGAATGCATTCTTAATCATTATAAATGTTGCATTAACAGCTGCCATAATCCCTTTACTCGGACAACAGTCGATAATGTTTATAATTTCTTACGTTATTCATGCTTCATTATTATTGCTTTCATTTATTTCATTGATCCTCGCTTTTAATTCGGTACTTTTCTCTTAATCAGATTTATCACTTATTTCATTTGACATTAAATATTTAAATGACTTTTTTTTTTTTTAGTTTATTCGAAAATGGAAAATTGGATTATACATATTTCTTGCATTATGGGTATTCTTTATTGTTGACTTTACTTTTTTGATCAAGGATGGAATTTCTGCTGCTTCAAGTGGATGGTATTTTTGGATAACTACAAGTAAGTTCTATATTTAATAAAAATAAAATCAAAATAATTCTTATATAACTTATATTTATGGTTTTTTTTTTTTGTCTTTTATCTTAATACAGTTTTTGTAACGTTAATAGCTGCTATCGTAAGTTGACCAATTAACTTAATCATTTACATTCGCTAATAAGCTAAAATATCTTTTTTTTTTAAAAAAAAAAACAAAGATTACGTTTTATTATACGTGTGTAATAATTGCAAATTTAGATATGGCCTAGATAAAATAAGTATAGTAAGTTATTTTATCAATTTACACAAAATAGTAGTTTAATGAGAGGTTTATTAATCACTGATAATTTATAAATTGTTACAATAAAAAAAAATTTCGAGGCTTTTTCACAATAATATCTTAGTTTACTAAAATGTTTGTATAGCTATATCATTTATGTATTTTTATTGCGTGAATAAATCACATTTTGTTACCTAACTTTTTTTATTAGTCGAGACTAGAGATGGCACTATGCGCATGATGCTCATACATGCATGCAATCATGCATGCGCATGGTGTGTGTATAGTGTTTTAAATTCAGA